TTTTTCCAATTGGTGAGTCATGTTATAAATTATATTGGATTAGATACCTAGAGTGGCACGTTACTGCTTCACGTCTGTATGGCAGGTAGCTCAAAGTTCCAGTAACCACCTCCACGCCATGGGATTGTTTATAGTAGGACTACTATAGCCACGTCAGCAGGTTTAGCATGAGCCCGAAGACAAAAGTTATCTCTTCTTCGATGACAGTTACAAGAAGAGATAACTTTTGCCTTCGAGAGAAAATTGACATTTCGAAGAAGAGATAACTTTTATCTTCGGGCTCATGCTAAGCCTGCTGGTATCTATAAGTTTGTTATACTTACAACTAACCTTGCGACGGCTCTACATTGTTTAATTAAATCTACGTATTCAAAGTTTCAGGACGTTATGCTTCTTTTCTAAGCCTAGTTAACGATGAGTCTTAACTTCTTAATATAGTCAATGACAAGATAACATAGATACCCGGGGCTTTTGATCTACTTACTTACAAATATTCTTAAAGGATTCGCCTTACAAGTGAAGCAAAAGAATATGAGTAGGCATCGGAGAAATCTTACAATCTTATCATCAAAAACGGCTGAACTTTGCGTTTAGTCAGAAAAACGTTACTAGGCCGCATGAGAAAAAATATTTTTATAGAGGACAATAATGTATTTAAATCTCTTCTCTAAATCTTGCCTTATTGCAATTACAGGATTCTAAAACCTTATGATCCGGAATAAACACCAAATATGAAAATGAAAATCATCCAAAAAAATGTGACTTACAATAATGTATAGTTAGTGTTGAAATAAATACGACTCATACGTAGAACAAAGATCTATGTGCAAGTACATTTCGTTCCTTCTTCTTCGCTGTGGATGTCAGATCGACTGTTGTTTCGTTTTATATTTCCGAAATGAAATAAGATATATAAATTTTCAAAACACCTTTACGTAGGCCTTAGTTTTAATAAGGAAGTTATTCTCGTAATATACTCATTCTCTTTTTGCTGTATAATCACATCGGACTCTTTCTTCAGATGAGTCGATTATATATCCGTGTTCCTCGAATCTGATTTTCATTCACAAATGCAAAATGATCAACATTTATATAATAGTGAAGGGCCACAAATTTATCGATGTTTAATGGGAACTCACACCAAAGTGCGCCCCATCATGACGGAGCCGACCTTGCGCCAGTGCGCCGTGTGATGTACACGGTACCCATAATGACACTGAGGATTAATACAAATTTAGTCCATTATAAACATCGTAGTAGAAAAATAATGTGTTTCATTGTTGCGTGAAGGATAATGACGTAGTGACCAGAACAGAAAAGGGAATGCTTCGATAGTTTCATCATATAAAGAAGATATATATAGAATATAGAGCGAAAGTGGATGGAAACGTCGCGAGGTAGATCTCGACGTACGTATCTCGATCCGAATGGGCATGTCCTTCAAAGACGTCAGGTTAAAATACAAAGAATAAACTAACGTATAGATAGAGGAGGCGAAGTAGTAGATTTATCAGGACGCAATGAGGGAGGGTCATGGTCTCTACGTAAACTAGTGGGAAGCAGAGGTTATTTAGGTCGATTTGGACATTTCAAAGTCAAAGTCAAACAATCTGTATTTCATAGGTAAGTAAATTAGACTTGAAATCATCATACTGATTAAACTCTACTTCTCATTCGTAAGGCTGAGTCCCGAGAGAAGAATGAGCAAGAAACTCTACGGGTTGCTCTTTGTAAATATACATTTGAATATATATTTATCATTACAATGATTAATTTAAACATCTTAGATCGAAAATACCTGCAAGAGCAAAACGGGTCACTACCACGGATTTCTGTCATCCCAGTACACAGCATCTGTATAATGTATAATAAATACCTTTAGTATAAAGTTTTTGTTTCATTACAGTTTAAAACATCGTAAAGGGCAAATTTCGTGATTATCAATCGGAATCTTTTTATAGAAGCGTATAAATTGCCCCTTAAATGAATTTGAGACTTTGTGAGGACAATTGTCAAGAACAGCTAGTTTATTTTTAACCGACTTTAAAAAAAAGGAGGAGGTTCTCAATTCGACTCTATGTTTTTTTTTTGTATGTATGTTACGCGCTAAACCCAGTATTTATGAACCAATTTTCATGATTCTTTTTTGTTGGAAAGAAGGTATCTCCATAGTGGTCTCATTTCATTTTGAAGAAAATCATCCACCTCTAAGAGTGGCTGTTCACGCATGAAGATTCATTTTTATAAATAGCGCCTAAATTTTATTATAAGGAGCAATTATTTTAATGGTTGATTTTGCTATTCTCTAATTCAAGGCGTTTTTCTCTCTCAATATACCTTGAATAGTGAGAACCGATTTTTATTATCTCCTATGTCAAGTCCCGTGTAGTGGCGAACTAGGGGATGAATCCGGGTTTGCGCTCTTTCCGGTAACCGATTTCAAAAAAACTTGGCAAATAGATGTAATATACTGAGATTATATTGTATCTATAACGTAAAAGACTTATCATAATGTAAAAAATCATTTGCTCGCGACGTGATTTATCAAAATTTGATTAATGCATTAATACCAACGTTAGTGTAACATTTCATGTAAATACAAATAATTATAATTTATTCTGCCTTTGTTACATAAATTATACATTTCTATGAAATTATAACATTTAGTTATTTATTACATTTATTTGTAATAGATAGTGAAATAATGTTTGCTTCCTATTTGAAGGGTTGTCGGTTCCAATCCCTGTGACAGCATTAGAGCTAGTTTAGTAGCAGTAGACCTCCTTGTGAAAGAGTTCGCCGAGTGAACCTGCCACCTTAACTATTTCTGCAAATTCTGAAATTCTGTGAAATTACAGCCACATGGAACTTGTCAACCTATGTGGCAGTGCCTATGACCTTTGCGATTTAAAGATCATAGTGACACTGCAGTTGTTATGGACAGGCGTGTCGCTTGCCACCAGGCGCGCGACTTGCTCGTCGAAGATGGTTCACAACCCTTGGCAAACATGTTATTCACGCCAGCCCACATTCGGTTAGTGTTTTGTGGCCTAAACCGTCTCCTTAGAGCACACCCTTGTCCAGTAGTTAACGTTGATGATAATTTATTTCAAGCTGATTGATGATGATTGTTCAATACACGAATTTAAAACACATTCAAGTGATAATCTTTACTGTTCGACTAGTTTACTTTAGTTACTTCCATAGTATAATGTCCTACGGGAATCTCATGTGGGGTAAAGCGGCAGATATACAAAGCATATTTGTGTTGCAAAACGAGCGATTCTTCTGTGTACCGTCTAGGTTCTCGAGTTTTTCTCAGAGAAAAGTTTAAGGAGACTGGTATCATGACTGTGGCGTTACAGTAAATTTGCTCAAATATTTTATATGTCCGTAGAAATATACGTAATTTCAATAAGAAAGAAGAAATCCAAAATATTAACCTTGGAGCTGAGTCCAAACTCATGGTACCACGTTTTCGTTTAACTAAGGTAAACGATTCTTTTATGGGAACTGTATACGTTTTTACAATAAGATTCCGGAGAATATATTAACATTACCATTTCCTAAGTTTAAAACTTACATGAAAAGTATTTTAATTGAAAAGTCATATTACTAAATTGAAGAGTATTTGTTAGATAAAAAATATGGAAGGACAACAAGAGTCTAGATTCCACACAATTATGATTCATTTAAGTTTATTTGAAAAGAGCAATCCCTGGAGTTTCTTGCTCGTTCTTCTCAGTGAGGTCAGCGCAGTGAACGACCAGTAGCTTAAAAACGACGTTTTCAAGTGTAAAAATATTACTTATGGAATAAATGATTATTTGACTTTGATTATTTTGCTTTGATTTTGACTTTGAATAAGTGTTCAGTAGTATAAAGAACTACACAATGTACTGTATATTGAAAGAGCTTGTTATGTGTATGTATTGCGTATGTTCCAAGTTGTGAACCAAATAAAAACGTGACTAAAAGATAAACTCTAAAGTAAAATTCAAACAGCTACGTTATCTCAGCGAAAAGATGAATCCCTGTGGAATAATTACTCCATTTCGTCCGTAAAATCGAAAGTTACCTCAGGTTAGCCGTGTGGGTCGGACTTACCCCCGGGCAATCCCCGGCCAGGTTCTCTGAAACTTTACCCGTTTACGTAAATTTTATCAAGTTTATTCATACGGACCCTGTTTCAGGAACTCCTATTTCAATATCGGGACCTCGCCCTCTCCACATCCCGCGGGGCGCGAAGTTTCCTGATAAAACAATTTTTGGCTAGTCGAGCATCAATTTCGCGTTTTATTTGGCCGCTCACTCGATGCCGGCTGGTTTTTTTGAGCAATGCCTTTGTTAAACTATAGCTTTAAACGTACTATAAAATAGTTTTTATATCGGGCTTGTTGGGTAACCTGATTGAAAGCTATAAAATAATAAAAGCAGTTTGACTTGCACGCAACATAAAACTTTAATAACAGTTGTGACTAAGCTGTTTTGCCGAGTAATATTTTTCTAAGTATCACGTTTGATTTAGCGAGTTCGCTGTTAGAATTTCACCCAAATGATCGACGAAAACGCGAAGGTTCACAATCTTCTGACTTCAATGAAGTAGGCGTCGTGAACGCGACGAGGCTACCAACATCACGAGGGCTTGTTGGTAGATAGAATTTTGAGAATTTAAAGATGTTTGCAAGTTGTATTAAAACGAAAAGTATTGTTAATTACATTTTCAACCGAACATAGTAAGTAAATTATTGAATAAATATACTTATTACAAATATCTACGTTAACAAAATAGGTCTAAACCTTTACCAATCTGAAGTTCAATAGTACCTTCATCATACATTCTATACCCTTTATTCTATGTAGCGTCAGTAAAAATATGTCGGCAGATTTGAAAATTTTTTTAGAGTTGTAACTTCAAGGAACCACGGTATCACTTTTATTCGCAGTACTCTATGAAAATAATCATACATCTGTGTTATTATGTTCAATGATGGACTTACCTGGTGGAGGCAGGTGTGCCAGCACGAGCAGGGCGAGGTGCGCGGCTGCAATGCGTGCGCGCATGGCGACCGCGGCCTCGCGAGCGCTAGCGGGCCGGGGCCCGCGCCGTCTGCCCGCGACACATGCCACGCCCACGACGCGCCTAACCGCGGCGACCGAACCGAAACAACCACTATATTATTCCAGAATAAATTTATTTGATATTTTAAATAGAACAGACGTTACGTTATTTATTTGAAATGAATTAGATATAAAAATTAGTTCGGCAAAATACAAGTAATTGAGAAAACAAACGTCAATGTCCTCATCAAAAGTCGACTATGTCACTAACACTCGCGTTTAGCACAACACTCGTTCGACTCTCGCTTCAAAGGCTCCTACAACCTGAAAATAAACAAAAATATTTACTCAAACGTCAAGAATTTCTTCAGTTGATTTAAGTGCAAATTTTAATACAGCCGGCCAGTGAGCAGTCGGCAGTGATTCCCGTAACGTAAAACAAACTTGCAAAAACAATTTACATAATTTTATTTTTTTAGTAAAACATCCGAGTTCCTCAAATTCACTTGGAACACGTTTGTTGTTGAAATGTTTTACGTAAAGTAAACTTATGAAAGGTACGTTGGCGAGCTAAAACAACATTACCACAAACATGAAATTAACTAGATATAATTTTAAATAAATTATGTTTACACAAACAATGTACCATGAAACCACTAATTCACAATCGTGTTGCTAACACAATGGGGTATAATTTGCTGCACGGGACGTGACCTTATCAATAATATTTTAATATCAACAAATTTGTATTCTCATTTGTATATACCCTGGTAATGATTTTGTGAGAGAATCGCCATAATTTGTCGTTATAGTCGTAATGTGTTATCAAAATATAGACAAATATAGATTTTAAGGCTTTCGTGGTTATTCTCTAAACGATTATCACTAATTACAGGTTCCTTATCACGAGTTCTTTTTGTTTTCCCGTTAACTACCTACCAATTTACCGAAAAGTACCAATTAACATTTGTTACTTTAACAGCTCAATCTGGATGAGGTCGCAGAGGTGCTGTTGTCGTTTGGGTGTGTAGAGAATAATCAGTCATCTGACATGATCCGGTAGTGGTTGGGAATGTTGCCATATCAGAAAAGGAAGCGGATGGTCAATTCTACACGACTTGGAGACAGTAAACAACTGTGCAACTCTCCCTGCGATTTCGCTACATGACAATGAAAATCCGTTTTAGTTTAAATTGTGTCAATAATAATCTTCGGACGTAATATTAAATCGCCAAGTGAGCGAATTAATAACAAAAATTAATAGTCAAATCGGTTGCAAATTCACGAATGTTATTAGTTAGTCGCTGGCTAAATAAATTTATGGTGGAGATATATATATCTCACATTGTATTCCTCTGAGACGCCCCGACATACACCTACATACACATAACCGAAATGAAAATGAAAGGTCGACTTCAGCGTTCATTTCTCCAACAGATTGAGGATGCCATTATTAAAAGGTCAAAGTAGCAGGAATAATCGACGTGTATAAAAAGATCGAATGGACGAAGCGAATGAGGTGTGTCGGGTGCAAAGTGGGTGTGCAGGTCCAGTGCCACTTTGAGCTTAAATCGTAAAGATTTCAGGCCTGCCTTTGCACCCGTCACCCTCAGACATAAGTTGAAGAGTCTCATGTGTCTGTGATTTCACCAGTAGTGTGAATGTAAAAATGGAAGATTGCAGCTTTTATAGAAGTAGACATTTAATAGCAGTAGAGCTCCTTGTGAAAGAGTTCGTCCAGGGAAGTACTGCCACCTTACCTATTTCTGCCACCTAGCAGTAATGTGAGCATTACTGTGTTACGGTTTTGAAGGGTAAGGGTGCTGCTGAAAAATAAAACACAGTGACGGGCGCAATGGCAGCGCCGCTCAGATCTTTGTGATTTTAAGAGCTGAGTGGCACTGCAAGTGTTATGAACAGGCGTGTAGCTTACCATCAGGTGCACGACTTGTTTGTCCCGTCACTTGATATTATATAAAAAAAATTTAAAACGAAATCACGTTTAGGACTACAAAATTCGTTTTCCTTAGTTTTATTCATAAGTTATCGGCTTCTTAGGTTTTTGCGATTGTTACACATAGGAAATGTAACTATTTTTCGGATCGAAATCACATATTTATCGTGCCAAAATTGATGATCATCATGACCTGTAAAGGGCCCCAAACGTTGATTTGTTTGAAACAAAGACACGCGATTTAATCCGAAGTTATAGTTTCATTTGCTACATTTACAAGTTATCTAACCGCCTACCACCATGGCCGAACGGTTACCATAATGGATTGCCACGCAGAGGTCCCAGGTTCGATTCCCTACACTTATTTCTCTCGTGAGTTTGGGTGTAATTTGTGATTGTCTATGTGCGTTTTTATTGCACCCGCGACACAGAGTTTTTCCTAGTGCGGAGCTACGATTGCGTACGTTATTTAATTATTATTTATTGTTATTATTTAAACTGTCAAGTTTACTCAATTTAACGGCAAAAAGCAGAAAGACGTCACATAAATACGAATGATAATGAACATTATCGATAATAAAAAATATAAACATTCTATAACAAGTACAAACGGCAAAAGTCAAAATTATAAGTTGGTTTCCGATGGAAAAGAGGCATATAGAACAGGGATATATACATTTATTCCAAAGAATATGCCTCGACCTCTGACAATAATTTCTTGAACTAACATTGACGCATATCCTCGGCGCAATAACCATAAGCTATCGACATAAAAACCAATGGGGAAGAAACCATCGACACGTTAGCCAGAGCAGAGATATTAATTCCATAGACATATAAACCAAACACATGGAAATAATAAAACATTGCAGAATCCTGATAGATATGTTAATACGCTCAACTTTAATTTAACAATGTAATAGTTCATAATAATAATGTATTTAGTAGCAGAAGTACTGCCTCAGGATTTTTTGCCACCAAGCGATAATTGAGCATTTCTGCGTTTCTGTTTTGTAAGGGTAAGGGTGCTGGTGAAATCACAGGCTTATGGAACTTGTCAACTTATATCTCAGGGAACCGGACACGGTAGCAGTGCTCCTCAGATCTTTGTAACTTAAAGCGGCACTTATATCATCAAAAATGTAAAGATAAGTTTTTACCCTCTCTGGAATACCCGTCAGATAAACGGCGGCAAGACATGTAAGTTTATGCAACTAACTAGAAATTATATATAACCTTTTTCCAGATGTTCATCGGGAAAACTCGGAAATTACGAATGTTACCGAACGCTGTTGCCGCATCTATAAGTGCTATTAACACTTTGACGTTAGACATTGGCCAATAAAGTTTCGTTTAACAGTTTAATTATATAAATACATTAATATGAAAACTTCTGGACGCGGTAATGACTATCGGAAATTCTCGTTGCTTCCGACTGTTCCCCATGTTCAATGTTAACTCACTGCAACGTTACAATTCCGTTAAAAAAATACAACCAATAAATGCGCACCCAATACATTACCGTAAAGCTGTTGTAATAAAACTCACCTTCTGACTTCGCATAATTACAATGGGAGTTTCCGAATAAATAACGTGGAAGCAATTAGGTTCGGTTCAGTTGCGATCGAGTTGGCGAAATGAAATTCTCAGAGCCAATAAAAGCGACTTCTGTAGGTGAGACTCGTCTCGGGGAAGTAGTACTGGCTTCGCTTGTATGTTTCACTGTAATTGTTGTTTGAGAATTGGAAATGTGTGGGAAATGTTGTTGCACAGTGTAGGATTAATAGAGTCCTGAATTCGTCACCAGTTTTATAGTCAATGTCGTTATAAGTTGTCTCATATTTAAGTCAAAATAATTTTAGTAGTTATGGGGCGCACTGTAAGTTTCCGGAATGAATAAGAAAAAAAATTGTATAAATGATCAGAAATTACTTTACTGTTTCTTAAAATATTCTCCGTTAGCGTTAATGCACTTTTTCATACGAATGAACCAATTTTGAAAACATTTATGCCACTCCTCCGTGACAATCTCTGAAACATATTTTTCATACTCTTTGACAGCCTCTTCAGGTGATGAAAATCGTTGATCGCGTAATTGGTTCTTAATTTTTGGAAATAAATAAAAGTCACAAGGTGCCAGGTCGGGACTGTATGCGGGATGGCTCATAAGGTCAACGTTGTTCACCTTCAAAAATTCATTTGTCTGTCTGGCCGTGTGATAACTGGCATTGTCGGGGCATTTGCCGGCAAACAAATCGTCGCGTATCAATCACTATTCACGGTACAACGATTCTCCAAAGCAACAGTAGCCACGTGTCCAGTTTTATTAAAAAAAGAAGCAATCATCCGCTTAGAGGCACTTTGCACGCGCGACATTGGTTGGTTTCGGCTCATCTCGAAACACCCATTCGCTCGATTGCTGCTTTGTTTTGGGATCTGTTACTATGTCCTACACCAAATTTGACGCCCCTTCGTTGAATCTGGTATGCATGGCATTGCACCAAGTGACGCGATCCGTTTTTTGAGCCTCAGTCAATAGTGTGGGATCCACCGAGAGCACAGCTTTTCCACGAAGCTCCGCTGAGCTGTTCAATTACACTTAAAGTCGTAGAAAATCATACTATAAAAATTTTCACGAGTTAAATCCATGGTGATGTAGATAACCAATTTCTAAAATGACGCCACAATGTAAAAATAAGTGACAGTCAGATGAAACATACCCTGTTTTACCCAAAGAGTTCCATTTTCAAATGTTGTAATGTCTTTTTAAATATTGTTTACGTAAGTGGCCAGTTCCGGAAACTTATAGTGCGCCCTATGTATCGATCATGATCTAAATTAGCATTACTTTCATCAATCTTGTCCGCAATAATATTAAGAATATAAATACTAGTATGATCAATAACTTTTTATCGATTGACTGATAGACGCTCGAAGCCCATTCTTCTTCCAATATTATACCCGTTAGCGCGAATTGTTCGTTCTGTATGCAGCGGGTTGATACTCGTCACCCTTTGCGGGATCTCAAGTCCCAACCAGTACGACTACCAAGCCGTACGAGCTTCCTTCGACACACCACCACATGCGAGGCGTAAACTTTGGTAGGCCAAACACGCCATTCCTATTGATCACGTCA